TTTTTTGTAACACATTTGTAAGAAAGTGAAAAAAAAAAAAAAAAACAAAGAAGAATATACCATTGTTTGCGCTTTCAATAAGCCGTATATCAAGCTCTTTTTCAAGAACTTCATCGTAAGTTATGGCATATTTGAAGTATTCCGGTTGAAAATCGTCGACACTTGTAAATTTTCTGGTTTCGCGATTTGGATAACCGTCGAACAATAATGCAAAACGAACATTGTCATCAGTATTTACAAAATCTTCCACTAAAACCAGTCACATATTCAAAATGCTGTCTTGCTAACTTTTTCCATTTTTTTGTGTATTATATTTAACCAAATTAACTGTTTATATTTCAGTTGGTCGGTCAGTCAGCTGTTTTGGTCATTTGGTCAGACAGTGAATTTGGTCGCTCAGTTAAGACAGTAGTTAACCGGTCTTACAAAAAAAAAAAAAAAGTAAAGAAGCTTTCTTTTTTTGAAAGTTAAAAAAAAAGCTACTGTTTGCTTGCAAAATTTTTTTTTCTCCTTCTCTTCAACTACTTTTTTTTTGTTATTTTTTTTTTTTCAATTTTTTGTACTTGGAGAATTTATAAGAACCTGTCGTTTTATATGCTATAATCCTAGAAATTTTCTAATTCAGGAACGTTTACAGAAATACGTGGCTTGTGATATAATAAAACAACCTATTGTGTTTCTTTGATATCTCATAACAATTTTTATTTTTTGATTACCGATTTTTTTATTTTTTTTTTAGACTTATTTTTTTTTAAAGCTTTTATATAATAAACTGGGCACTTCTAGTTTTTATTCGTTTAAACAAAACTGCTGTCGAGCTGTTGCTGTGAGCAGACCAAAAAAATTGACATATCATTTTAACAGTTTAAAGAGGAAAATGCTGTAAAAGCATGGTTTGAGAAGTATGTGAACAAAAAAAGAATCGGTAAAAAGTCAAGATTATTTTGAATAAATCTTCGAGGTTTGATGATCAAGAATCGAGAAGAAGCAGTGATGCTAAGCAGAAACTAATTGATTTGTAGAAAAGCATCAAAAGCTTAGGTTTTTCAACAAACTAATCATTTGTTGTATGCATGTGATAGGAAAGAAAAAAAATACTAAAATAGCAGATACTTAATAAGCTTATTCTGTTGCAACAAAGATCAGATGTTTGGTACCATAGATAATTTTTTTTTTTACTACTCCAAAATTGAACCATTTTTAGGCTAGTGAAAAGACGATGATCAACTTTCTAATTAGATGCCAAAGTACCAGTCTCTTTTGGCTTAAGACTATAATTATAGTTTTATGCCTTATATTTTGAAATGTATTTTATCAGTTTAATCCCACAAAATCTTCTGCCATTGGCAGCTTTATATTTGTTCTTTTGACTCTTGTATTGCTAAATAATTTTTGGTGCTAAGAACAAGATCTTATCCTGCTGAGGCAAAAAAAAAAAAAAATTCACAGATCTTTTACAGGTCTAATCAGTTTGAATTAAAGCACAGAAAAATAAATTTGTATACTAATATTTTTATAACTTTTAATTGGCTATGCTTAAAAATTTACCGCTGTCGCCATCATCATTGTCATCGATGAAATTCTTCTCCAGAAGAAACACTTTTTTTCCCATAGCGATCTCATGATGACGGTGACGACAGCAACAACAAAAATGATGACGAAATTCATAAAAATTTAACTAATTTTGAAACGTCTAAACAAAAACTTTTTTGCTATCTTTTCCACCTTTTCCACTCTTC